GCTCACTGCAATCTCCGCCTCCCAGATTCAAGTGATTCCCCTGCCTAAGCCTCCTGAGTACGTGGGATTACAGGTGCGCACCACCACGCCCGGTTAATTTTTGTATTTTTAATAGAGACGGGACTTCACCATGTTGGTCAGGGTGGTCTCGAACTCCTGACCTCGTGATTCGCCCACCTTGGCCTCCCAAAATGCTGGGATTACAGGCGTGAGCCACCGAGCCTGACCGATTATTTTTCACTTTAAACATCTCAGGAAAGACCCAAAGAATCCTCAGGGTTTACACTCACAGTCCCTTGATTCCTGTATATTCCAAGATTTGGGGGAAGAAAAGGTACCAAGCTTGGAGTCAGGAGGCCTGATTTTTCTTCCTTTCACCAAGCTTCTCTAGTTCTGTTTCATTATCCCTATGACAACGACTAGCAACAGTGACTGGCATTTAGTAGGCCCTTCATAAATATATGTTGAATAAACTCTAAAAGAGGTAGCTTTTCAATCCAAGTTGAGTCCTTTCTTGGTCCTGTTGCAGGCAAGGGCAATGGTATCCTGCCCTGGGTGCACAAAGATGCAGGGAGGATCAATCGCAGAGCCTTTCCCAGAGAAGGGGCCCAAAGCGAGTCAACCTCTCTACTGAGCTTCCCACGAGGATGCTGGATCCCCAATCCCAACCATGGACACGTCTGACGGTCGCCACCGTTAACGGGAGTGATATGGCCCTTCCTCCCCCACTCCCCCTTCTCTTCTCCCCTTTCAACACTTGAATTGGGCTCTCCCGCTCCTTCCGCACAGCGCAGGACCCACACCAGCCCAAAACCTTCGCGGCCTGCTAGTTCCCACCCCTCCCGTCCTGGAGGACCGTAGGTGGACGCTCTTGCAGAGCGCCTCTCGCTGGTTGGGGCGGGGGTGGGCGGAGCCAGCACCGTCTGGGCTGTGGAAGCGGAGGGTGGGGACACTCTGGCCCGGTTCTCGGTGGTGCGGGAGCTGGCGCTAGCAGCGGCCGCTCTGGTCGGCGGACGTGCTGCCGAGTAGTCCCGGAAGCGAAGCAGCGATGGCGGAGAGTCCGACTGAGGAGGCGGCGACGGCGGGTGCCGGGGCGGCTGGCCCCGGGGCGAGCGGCGTTGCTGGTGTTGTTGGCGTTAGCGGTAGCGGCGGCGGGTTCGGGCCGCCTTTCCTGCCGGATGTGTGGGCGGCGGCAGCGGCAGCGGGCGGGGCCGGGAGGAAAGACCCAAAGAATCCTCAGGGTTTACACTCACAGTCCCTTGATTCCTGTATATTCCAAGATTTG